ACTAGGAAGTAGAGATATTGATCCAGCGTTTCAGGCGTACGACAGCGTTTTCAGCGACTCGCAAAGAGTTCAAAACGCTAGATCGATACCTATACTTTGCTAGTCCGTCGAAACTCCCGTGCGCTGCTCAAAACGCTGCCTTACTCTGACGTACGCTAGATCGATACCTATATTTTCTCAGTCGCTCAAAACCCTGACGCAGAGTGAGAACGTCGTTTTTTCTTTGGTTTGCCAATGCAAATGTTTGTTCAGGTTCTGATTGATGGCCCCAGCACTGGAGTTATTCGTTGCGTCCGAAACCTGAAAGATCTGCAGCTGACGAAATTTGTTGTTAATGTTCGTGTCGGACAAAGAACGAAGAAAGTCAAAGAGGCATTTGATAGCGCCAAAATCAGTGATCAGTTCAAGCAAACTACTTGGGCTAAAAAGATCGCGCAGAAAAAAATCGTAAGTACTTCATGACTTCACTATTAGAGTTTTTACATCTTTCATCATTACAATCTTAGTCCTTTACATTGATCGCATATTTTTCGCCTTTCCTTTTACTTTTTTATGTTCATTTATTCATTTTCTATAATTATATTAGGTTGTCCGGAAAGTTCTGCACGTTTCGAGTGTTTCACTTTAAACGATCATAACTTTCTTAACACTCATCGGATTTAATCCAAATAAGCACCATTCGAATCAGCACACTTTTGCCAATGTGACAGCAGTCGAGAAATCCCATCAAAGAAAAAAACTGGGTGGTCGAGAATCCACGAAGGCTTTTTTGCCTGATTGATGAAGTATTTTCCAGCAAGGGAGTTCTGAAAATGTTTGAAAAGGTGATAGTCGGTTGGCGAAAGGTCTGAAGAATATGGCGGTTGAGGTAGAACTTCAACCCCCAATTCGTTCAATTTATGGAGTGATTTGTGAAACGTGTGGGCGGGCGTTGTCATGCAAAAGAATCGGACCCTTTCTGTTGACAAGTGCTGGCTGCAGCTGACGCAATTTTCGGTACATTTCGTCGATTTCTTCACAGTAGGACTCTGCTGTGATGGTTTGGAATAAACTTAAAAAATAAAATAAAATTCTACACAGCAGGACTCTGCTGTAATGGTTTGACAAAAAGTTATAGTGGATCACACCAGCCGATGACCACCAAACCGTGACCAGAATCTTTTTTTCGTGAGGGTCGCTTTGAAAATTACCTCGGTGGTTCGTTGGAATTTAACCACTCTCCGGAACGTCCCTGTTATCATGCATGATCCATTTTCATCACAGGTGACAATTCGCTTTAAAACGGGTCGTTTCTGTTGCGCAAAAGCAGTGAAGAGGAAACGCGAGACGTGCCAATTTCTGCCGGTCACTCAAATTGGCACCCACTTGTCGAGTTTTTTCACCTTCCCAATGCTTTTCAGACCATCCGCAACAGTGATTTCCCAGCGCTAGCTCCTGCAATCTCACTTTGGGATGGTCAGCCTCCAAAATCCCCATCCTCGTCAGATATTGCTTTAGGTCGACCGCTATGAGGTTCATCTTCAAGGCTGAAATCTCCAGAACGAAATTTGTTGAGCCATTGCCGCACAGTGCTTTCTCTAGCACTATTGGGCCCCCCACCTGGTTAATTTGTTGAGCTGTTTCGATTGCGGATTGCCCAATTTATAGTAGAAGGAAAAAATCGTCCGAATTCTATTCACATCCTTGATAAATCTGGAAAAGGGGGTTCATCAAGACAATGTTGAAACGGTTTAGTTTATACTATCAAGAGCCGCGACAGAATTGCTCTTCAAGGGTACTGCTGAGACGCAAGGGAGAGTGAGTTTTTTGTCAGCAATGAATGTTCAAAAAATAGCAACACAAAACGTGCAGAACTTTCCGGACAACCTAACAATTCGTACTGGGAGGGGGGGGAGTGCAGTTACATCAGGTGGAAATTAAGTTGTTATATTTGGTGTAGCTCCTGATTTCCCAACATTTCCATCAATAGCCTTTTAATTGGAACGTCCCAGTGCTGAGGGGGTGAAATTGTTCCTGAGAACATCGTGTATGCCGATGATCAGCTGGTCTTTGATGTCTCCGAGATTCTAACGTCGTGCTCACTGCGGACGCTGGAGCGTGACAAGGGGTGCTGGGTTTGGCAAGCGCCAACCCGTTCTCCACCTACTGTTGTCGCTCGCCCTGCTTCAACAGCAAGAGGAGAACCTGGTAACGTCAAACCCAGCTTCTCTGACAGCCTCCTGTATCCGGACAGCAGTGGACAAGACTGTGGTTATCTAGACTAAGAAGAAAGTTATTGTTGTCAGTCATCAAATCTTCGAAGAGGCTTCGTTGTCGTTAATGAAAAGAAAAAAATCACTTCTCCACATCCTTGCATCCCTTGGCAAGTCGATAGATGTGCCGTTCGCCGTCGCGCGCCTCCAACTTCCTGTTGACGTATTCGAAGTAAGCGGCATTTGTAGCCTCCACAGCTCGTTCTTCCTGCCTGACTTTTCAGCCATTGCCAGCTCACTTTCCCGAGTAACAAAGTAGTGCGCTCTCTTATTCTCACACATCCTAGCGTTCCTAAAAGTCCCAATCTTACGTTGCCATACGGACTTTTCACTTGCTGAGTCGAGACTTTTGCTACTTGGCTTATGCTAATCGGAGACCCTCGTACACTTTCCACACTCTCGGTCCATCGACGCGCGTCGTCAGCTCCCGTGAACACGATAGCATTATTTCCGAATACATAATTCATATTCAACATGAGTGATGTGACATGGGTGTTCGTAGGTCGACCTGTCCCCAAGACCTGCATTTCGAACGGTCCCCTATTCCAGCCTCAAGCTCATAGACGCGAGCAATTCTCACCACTGGCACCTCGTGAAGGAGCGAACCACACCACTTGAATACTTAGCTACTACCCTCGGAACATACAGGCAATCTATGGTGTGTCACAAACTATTTGTTTGTGAATTACCTCTTCTGTGATGAAATATTGGATTGTCGGAAAGCTGGGGTAAATTATGAGGCCTACTAAAATCGACAACAAATGCTGTGCGTTACCCTTTGATTTCGGTTTTCATCAATTCTGATGTACCTTTTTGACTGCACAGTCTAGTATTACTTCACTGCTCATACTTTCGCTCCATTTCAATATTCGAATTTTTGCTTGCTAAGGTTGTGTGTGGAAATCTTCGGACATTATGCATCACAATTAAGCTTTTCTTTAGCGTAGTGTTTCTAGCTTTTTTTTAGTTGAAAGAATGTGAGGGGTGGGGATGAGCTGCTAACAAGCTTGATGAAGCTTTTACGTTGGAACTGCTTTCCAAAAAAAATGGGGGAAATAACTTCTAGAAAAGCCAATTAGGCATGGATACATATCGTTCAAGTAAGAGGATGATTGTGCTTTTGGAATAGAATTTGCTTCTGTTACACCGCACGTCCCGGTTCAGCACGCATATGGGTCATTTTTCATTTCGCTCCTTCACTTTGAACTATCGAGGTGTCAAACAAGACCTAGAAAAATTATTTGAAACCTGCGAAATTATACCAACGGAATCGTGGGACCACTCGTCTAAATATACCTGTCTCGTAACGATATAATCCATACAAAGATTCATTAACGGGGCTCGACGAGCTTGCTCCAGCTTCACGAGGGTAAGACTTGGGAAGCAGCGGAAGTGCTAAATACCCCCTTCCCCTCCCTCCCTCCCTCCTCCACACCCGTCGCCGAAACTGAAGCCATGAGCATATTTTGACGCAGTACGATTATATTACATGGATAGCAATGTGATAATTAGTGGAAGTTGGTCTGCACATCCTTCATTTAAAAAAGAACAGTAGAAAGCTTCATTTTATAACCAGATTAGAGTTATGCTTATTTATATAATCAGTGAAGCCTCCTTTCCGCTGAGACTATGCATGAACCATGTACTCAATAACGCCTAAATGTTGTTCTAATCTCCGAATCACCATTGAACTGAATTGCTTAAAACAAAAATATCAGACTCTTGAACGTATCCTGTGAGCTGTTTCCAAGAGTAATCGTTGTAATGCACATTGGTTGAATAACGCAAAAAAAAAAAAATAAAAAGAAAAAAAAAAAAAAAAAAAAATAAGTGAAAATAAAAAACGCAAAGACCAAAGCATTTATTTAATCGGAAATAACATTATGCAATGAAACGGACGCATATCGATGGATGACTGTTATCCAAACTGAAACGTGGAAGTATCAGGTCGTGAGGTAGATCCGTAGGGTCTACGCACAATTTCAACTCGATCGTTTAATCGCATATTTTTTGCTTTTTTCTGCGCTACGTAGTTTGCATGACATGGTTTGAATACTGTGTTCTAATGTGAGCTGATACATTCTAACTTTTCAAGCATGATAGTGGCTCAGTTTTTCCGAGTCCCTTTCCTGGGGGGGAAAGGGGAAAAAAAAAAAAGCCCTGTCCTCTGGCGAATTTTTGCTGTCGCCATTCCAGCCGTGCTCAATGTGCGCTCGCGTTTTCCAACAAGGCGTGAGTACTTCCAAGAACAGTTTTCTTGCTGCGAATGATGAGGGTGTCAATGTTGCTTGGGTTGGCGCGCCACTAGCGCGTTGCCCACCAGTTGCTGAACTGCGTAAGCGACAACAGCTGGTAGAAAACAGCTGATAAAATTGATATGGTACAGTTTTTCACTTGCTCCCTGCAACAACCCGTGAAAAATGGTCTTGGCGCTGCGCCATACCCATTCCGCTCCATCATCCTCAGCGATCAAGCTGTAACTGTCGAGAACTGCTTAAATTAGTAGTCTTCACATTACAGTCAGTCTCTGCGGACGGTGGGGCGGTCCTAAGGCCACGCTGGCTGGCGGCCCGATATGTGCCTGTTGGTCGAAAGCGGCAATAGCCTTGCCCCTGCGTCTCTGACACTGACTCTGCGCTCTAACGCACGCCGCCGCACAATCTACCCACTCTCCCGCTCTGGGCTCTCGCCGATCATAATGCTCCAGCTGATTTACGCACTTCGCCCAGCTTATCTTTTTCTTACATTCATAAATAAAGCTGCGGATTTTCGATCTTTCCTCTATATACGTCAAAGGTTGATATTTTACTAAAATTGTACACAATTGCACGAATTTTAGCTTGATAAATCCGCTTATAAAAACATTTTTTTTTCTTATTGCAATTTTGTCCAACTTTTCCTTACCCCTCCCTCAGCTTTTTTTCATTACTTTAACCGGCCTTTCCGACATAGAGTCTCAGTGTATCTCGTATTATCAGAACCCATTTTTGACTCGTTTGCAAAAGCTCGGAGAGCGCACACTTGCTACATAATTCACTCCAACATTACCAAAAGCGGTTCACTATTAGACAATGAGAACAAGACGCAGATTCGAGGACAGAATCCAAAAGGAAGAGAAACAAAAAATAGTCAGCAGAGACTCACAAAATTTCAGGAGATATGGGAAAAGGGGACCATTAAGGCGACTCCGAGCTTCAAAACAGAGTCAAA